GGGGGGGGGGGGGGTGGAGAGATGGGGGGGGCAGGGCCACGCTGGCAGAGCGAGGATGCATTTTTCTGCCTTTTTTGTCCCGGTTCGGCCCGGTGTTTTTTGTCTGTGTGTGTGTTGGGGGGGGGGCAGAGGGATGTGTGCCCCCCCTCCCCATAGAAAGCAATGGGTATGGAAAGGGGTGGGAGGGGGGGGGGGGGAAGGGGAAGTCCTCAGGTTTGGCCCTAAAATCCCCCAGATTTGGTCTGAAATCCCCCAGATTCGCCCCCAAAATCCCTCAGGTTCACCCCAAAATCCCTCAGGTTCACCCCAAAATCCCTCAGGTTCACCCCCAAAGTGGACGTGGGGGGGTCCAAAATCCCTCAGATTCGCCCCCCAAATCCCTCAGATTGGGTCCTCCCGTGTCCACGTGGGGCCAAAAGTGCCTCAGACTCGCCCCCAAAATGGGCACGGAAACCTAAAACCCCTCAATTTGCCCCCAAAATGAACACGGGAAGACTGGAAAGCACCCAGATTCGCCTCTAAGTGAACGCAGGCGGGCCCAAAGTCTCTCGGATTTGCCCTAAAGCGAACACGGAGAGCTGAAATCCTTCAGATTCGCCCCAAAGCGAACACAGGTGGACCCAAAGTCCCTCAGATTCAGCCCCAAATCCCTCAATTTGCCCCAAAACAGACATAGGAGAAGACAAAACCGCTCAGATTTGCTCTGAAGTGGACATGGAGACCCAAAATCCCTCAGATTTGGCCCCAAACCCCTCAGATTCGCCCCAAAACGGACATAGGAAGACACAGAACCACTCAGATTCGCCCTAAAATGAAGACGGAGAGCCAAAATCCTTCAAATTCTGCCCTAAATCCCTCACATTCACCCCCATGGGGACACGGAGGGACCCAAAATCCCTCAGATTCGCCCCAAAACGGACATAGGAAAAGACAAAACCACTCAGATTTGCTCTGAAGTAGACATGGAGACCCCAAATCCCTCAGATTTGCCCCAAAACCCCCCGGATTTGCCCCAAAATGGACACAGGAGGACCCAAAGTCCCTCAGATTTGCCCTAAAGTGGACACGAAGACCCCAAATCCCTCAGATTCACCCTAAAAATGCCTCAGATTCGCCCCGAAAAAGACATAAGATGACCCCAAATCCCTCCGATTTGACCCAGAACGGACACAGGAGGACCCCAAATCCTTCAGATTCGCCCCAAAATGGACATAAGGGAAAAACGAAGATAAAATCCCCCAGATTCACCCTGAAAACCCCTCAGGTTCGCCCTCAAATCCCCTCAGATTCACCCTAAAAGTGACCACGAGGATCCAAAATCCTTCAGATTTGCCCTAAAGTGGAAATTGAAAGAATGGGGGGGGGTCAAACCCCTGAACTTCGACCCCAAAACCCCTCAGATTTGCCCCAAAATGGACACAAGGGGGTTGGGGAAGGGAACCCCTCAAACACACCCCCAAAACCCTTCATAT